TCGGGCCTGTCTGTGCAGGGAGGTGCACGCCATGAAGCGGGTCCTGTTTCAAGGATGAGCAGGAGGGGAAGTTGCAAGAGTCTGCTGACCTCCTTGAGCAAACTGTTGGCCCCCGCAATGCAAACACCTTCCTCCTCTGAGCTCGCCGCCTGCAACGCACAGTAAAAATAACACGCCCAAGTGACTCCCGGCCCACATCTGGGGCCTTTCCAGTGCCTCCACAGCGTGCACAGGATTGCTGGCTGGATGGGAATGCGTGGAGCCACTCCTTGTACGAGACACTGGCCGCAGAGGCGTTCACAGCCAAGGGCGAGTAACATCCCGCAGGAGGTCTGGCCACGCTCCGGCCTCACCCAGCTGTGGGACATCGGACTATCAGGACGACGTGCCAGGCAGAAGAGGCAGAGCCCCGGGCCCAGCAAGGCCTACTGGGAGCCTGTGGGCATTGCTGGGAGCTCACATGCGCTGCTGCCCTGAGAGCTGCTGATCCCCGATGATGCTGCAGCCATGGGGCAGGAGGGCTGCTTGCCCAGCCGGGCTGCGGCCAGGCAGAGGGCAGCACCCGTCGGACATCTGATCTGAGAACCCAAATGTGGGTGAAACCCACACGAACCATTAAACAGCCTCCCCCACCATCCCATCCTGCCCGTTCGGTCTCCTTCCAGCAGACGTGCACACAAACACCCCCCTCGCTAGGTAATAAATAGCTCGTGTGTCTGAGCAAAATGAAAGCAGAGTGAGAAGAATCTGTTTTAGATTTGCCTTGCAGAGAAGCCAAGGCCATTACTGGCCTATTTATTATAAATTACAGGCAGCGACTAGGTGCATCTAGAGGACAGCATCTCCAAAGGACGAGCACGGCCAAAGCTGAGTAATAAAGGGTCGTAACCCAGCGCTGTATTGGTGCCCGGGTTTCTTGTAGCACACCAGACACCTGGTCTGGGTATTTCTCCTTCCTCCTCCCTCTGCCTGACCCCCCCAGGAAGTGCCCAGGGGAGCCCAGAGGAGTATGAATATCCACTCAGAGCTGAAGTGGAAGAGAAACCACTGCAAGGAGAGAAAAATGTATGCAACGGCATTTCAAACCTCCAGGGACTCGCATCGGAGCTGTACAGGCAAAGTCGTCACCTAAACTAGGGGCAACGACTGTTGAAAAGTAGGATGCTATTCTCTGGCTGCTCCCCTAATACGGAGGGCATCAGAAGGACCAGCTCCTACAATGGACCCCTGGTTGTGCATATCCCCTTGGCCTTTCTTAAAATTGTTGGGCAGAAAAACTACTTGCAGTCACGTTCCTCATTGGTGCACATTGTGTTGCTAATTGCACCAGCTGTGCTAAGCACGCATTTGGAGTAGAGCTGGCTGGGCACTTTCCAGCAAAATGGTGTTGCTGGAAATATTCAGTATAAGCACAGAGACTTTTTGAAGGGACTCATTTATCAAGAGTCCTGACAAGAAAGGTCCTTGGTCCAGAATGGAGTATTGAGAAATAATGATTGTGATCATCTCACGAATGACTTCATCACAGCACACACACGGTGCGGAGCGGACTGAAACAGGGTATCTGCTTTGGGAGGAATCTGGTGGTGATCTGGTTTAGCTCTAAACCTATATTTCCCATTTGTGTGGGAAATGAAATATTTCCTGTTCCATGCATCAGCATTTTCCGATGAATGCCAAGCATTTCAAACCAGGCCCAGGGTCCTTTATGCCAGCTTTGGCATGTGGCAGAATGCCACCTTGGTTTCTCCCCAAAAATCTCTGCCCTGTGACACTGTGATTTAAATCTCTGTGCTGTGACCATTCAATCAGGATGGGCCCAGCACACAGGGGACCACACCCTCAGCCTGTCTCTTTAGGGAACTGGAGCTGGCTGCATTCCTGAGGGAGGGGGAAACCTGCTCCCTCTGCCTACGTGACTTGCATCACTTACCTGGGTAAGGGGTTTCTACCTGGGGAGCTGGAATCTGCCCGGTAACAGGTGATGCATTTCAGCTTGGTTGGCTGACAGCCAACTGGGGCTGACCTCCGCTGGCCCAGGTGAATGAGGTCACAGGGGCTATATAAGTTAGGACGGGGAAGGAGGCGGTCTCGGCTCTCCGGCCATGAGGTGACGCAGCAGCCAGGCAGGGGACAGAGAAGCCTTAACATCTGAAACTGGCTCTCTCCCCCCAAACTCACGAGCTAGGAACCGCCTGCCTCCAAAGGGAAACTTCACCTGCCTTTGGAAGATGCTTGTGAGTAAGCTACTCAATCTGATTAGATATTTAGCTGGAAGTATCACAGATGCGTAATCAAAAGGCTACCACAGCCAGACTGTTTGCTCTTTAGGATTTCTAGATATTGCTCTATCCTGTACCCTAGTTTACCCTACCCCCTGTAATCAATAAAGTTCTCCTTTTTGACTGGTGTGGGAGACTTATTGAGGGGTGGGTCTAAATTATGCCTAAGAGACCCCTTAGGTCTGCGGACTAAGGGAGACTTTCCTTTTTGCCCCCGGACTTGGGGAAGTGCCCCAAGTGCCTGCATTGGGTCGAGTACCCATAGGACTAATAGGCCTGTGTTTTCCCGAGGATACAGGGCCGAGACAGTCCACTCTCGGGGTGGTGGCAGCACTTTAACCCCAGACTAGCGAGAGTGCTCTGGGAGAGGGGTCGGCCGGACATAAAGCGCCCCTAGGGAGGCATTCGGAGCCTGGAAGGTGGGCGGACGCAGGGAGGTGGGCGGCTCAATGCAGGAGCACCCCCTACTGGCCCGCCTCAC